AGGGACGTAAAATTGTAGGATGTATAAACTCCTTATGGTGGGATCGAAATATTTCCAAAAGTAACAAAAAGATAATAGGACAAACCATGGTTGAATCAGTTCTTTGTTCTGGCTCTGAAGTATGGACACTTAATGCAGACCTGGAAAGAAGATTGTTTGACAGTATGAAACGGTCATTAACAAATAGAAAGAACAGGTTTAAAATGGTTTGGACACCTATTGAGAATGCCTGGCAAACGTTGGCCCCAAAAACTTCACAGATGAAAGCCCCCTGGAAGAAGAAAAAGAGGTAAACCTCGAAGCTCATGTAATGACGGAATTAGAAGAGCGATGGAATGGAGGGGTTTGGAGGAGGAGTATGCGTTACGCCGAATACGGCGATAGCTGTCTCCAAAATTGTATTGTATTTACAAGTTGGATCCTATAATATATATATATATATATATATATATATATATATATATATATATATATATATATAGAATCGACTATTTATTATTACATATTATAGGATCGTGAATAACCAGAAAACGGTTTTTCATCGAAAAATTATTGAAACTGTTTTAAACATCTTAAATAAAAACTTTACAATAACCACTAATAAAAGTAAGTTGCATAAAAATTAAGGTACGTTATAGCTAAAATAAAGTCCGCTTATAAGGGGATGTTAGGTGGGAAATAGGATTCTCGAGAATGTGGTTTCATTTTATAATTACATCATAGTAAATAGGTTACATACATACAAAAACACATTACTTGGTGCGGTGTAATCCGATTAAAATAGAACAATATACTACATTATGCAGTCCAATATGGTGGTACACACACGTTGATTGCTGAAGAGACAACTATAATGGCGGAAGTCAATATGAGAGCCGTTAAAGGCCAGAAAGTTACAAAGAACCACAGTTAAGAAAGGCTGAAACAGCGAGAAACATTCTTAAGCAAGTAGCAGACTAATCCAAAATAAGTAAAAACGTTCATGTTATAACTTTCATCCTCCAAAACGCTTGCTTTTACAAAAAAACTTTGATGCTTTAATTCTAGTACCTATCCATTGCTGTCATCCACCTGAAGAAGGGTATTTTTTCCTTTGGCACAAAGGAATTGCCAAAAGAGTGTCGGATGAAGTTGCCAGTTGCTTAAACAAGTATTAAGAAAATGAAGGTAGTTTGCATCAAAGGTTTTTGTATATCTTTGTACAGACATTAATTTTACTTAAGGTAAAGTCCTTATTCGCTCCCAATTTATCCGAAATGTGAACACAAAAATGGTGCTTTTCAATGTATCTTACTACAAATGGACGAAATAAAACGTTTTCAGTCTAAATTTTATGGGACGAAGGAGAAAATCTTTAAGGTAATTTTTTGCTGAAATATTGTTGTTCCCATACAGCGTAAACGCCCAAGAAATTCGCAACATGTTGCAAAAACAGTTTAAACACGATTTTATATTCTGATGAATGAAAACAAAATGTTGGCTGTGTGCAAAAAAATTGTCATGGATGTTTTTGTACAACAGGGACGCGAATTGATACAGTTACAAAAAATTTCTACAGAACTTCCCTTCCTGCAAAGAAAAATCGAGGGGGCAATAGAAAGCTGGAAAAGTACGTGTTATGGATTAAAATAAAATGAAAACCTTGCACTAAAAGAAAGCTATTCCAGGAAAAATTTCAATACACAATATAACCTTAGTTTTGGTTCTCCTAGAACTGATGCATGTTCGACATGGTTACAATTGACTGAGAAAATAAGAGCGTGCCATGATAAGGACATGGAAGCCAACTTATTCATCCAAAAAAGCGTGCATATATTGAGGTCCAAAGCATTTTCTACCCCTTTAAGAGAACGGGACGAAAGTGTAGAATGCAGAAACGTTATCTTTTGAATGTCAGCAAAATCAAGTTTAAGATTCCGGATCAACAGGCGTATTATTTACGTCTCAATTTTATATGTACAATTTTACCATTGTAGGAGAAACTTGAAAAGGTGATTTAAATCCATCTATTGCCACTTCTTTCTGTTGAACTGAAAACGAGTACAAGCAGGATTCGAACGAGGTTGCCTCCTGCATTTATTACATTTTTGAATCGGCTGATTTTGGAGACGAATATGAAGAACTATATTTCTGAATGTAGGTCTGTATCAGGAAAAATAAAAAAATGACAAGATTTAAGATCTGAATAATAATTCAGATTATAGCCACTACTCTAGTCCACGAGGCAAGGGACCGAAGAGAGAGTGGAGTAATTTAATATTAAAGTAAATATTTTTGTAGTCTTATTAAATAATATCTCGTATATTTTTTAGTTCGCCTGTAATTTGAAGCATTCTAATGATTTTGACTCAACACAAACTTCGTAATCATCAATAATACTTTCCTCTTAAGAAATTAGTTTTAAATAGCACAAATAATTTAAACAAGTAATTGTTTTTCTATGCGATTGAAGAAAATCGAAGACGATGTTGAGTAACTGTTTAAAATAATTAACAACGAAGTACAAGACAGCCATTAGGTATAACCAAAGAAATTAATCACTAGGCTCCAATTACTAAAGACATGGACAAGTAGCTTTAACATTCCTCTTGTTTGCATTAGATTATTTTTTGTAGTACGAGTTTTTGTAGGTTGATTAAATTAATAAATGGGTGGTATCTGTGTGACTAGGGAGCTTAAGACTTCATTTACTAAGGCGGGGAACTTATTTATATGGTAATTCGCGGTTAAAGTATGTGGTAAGTTCTAAGAAAAAATATTAGATATCTTAATTAGTTTCAAGAACGTTGTTTTAAATATGGACAAAAATAAAAGTGCTAAAAGTAGATTTTAAGTGATTATAATTAATTCAAAACGCAAAACTGATAGTCTAAGAATATGTCACAATTAAACATAAAAGTAATATTTATGTTAAAAAACAAATACATAAGTAATGATCTAAACAATTGAAGCGTTTATTTAAAAAACAACATGTCTATTTTTTGCAAATTTGACTTTATGTTATTCGCATAGTATAGTAGTTTCTTTATCGATCTCACACATTCAGTTGTGTAAAAATCTTAGATGTGCGGATTAAACTACATAGAAAATTCAGACAGTTTTAGAAAAACAACAGATGTCCATGCGGTTTGTTGTAAAAGCAACACGTCCCATTTTACTCAACGGTCATCGCTAAGTGTACATGATCTTGTCTATAAATTTATCAGTTTTGTGCGTTCTTTGTTAATAACAGGTGATGTTTGTTTCTTTTGTATTAGAAAAATAATTCAGCTTGGCGGAAATTCTTCAACATAATACCTTCAATATTATAAATGATATTTTTTTTTGGTAAAATTACCATAAAGGTGATAAGGATGTTTTAGCCCGAACAACAGGAAATGACTGTGGGTAAGTTTTTCGATAATAACAAATTGTTTTCTCAATTCTTATAACTTCAACCTTGGTTGTACGTGTAAACGTTATCGATGCTTTTATTTAATAACACAAGAACAACTTACTGAATATGTTTAATATTATGAAGAATAAATATGAGTAAAATTATAAAGCCTCATTAGCGTTACTCCTCTCCAGAGACGATGCAGTCGTATTCCACAACTGCTTTACCTAACCACAGTAGTACTAGTGACAGTGGAAATGAAGATACAAACAAAGCTTGACATCAACAAGGTCGACCTCATGTAGCTTCTTGTATGTATAAAATTCGACTACCGGAAAATGACGTAAGTATTTGTGCCAAAGCTCTACGTAGTATTTTCGGTGTTACTGAAATGCAGATCCGTCGAATTAGAAATAGCTTAGCAATGAATGGATGTTCTCCAAAAGATGCCCGAGGCAAGCATAAAAATAGGCCTAAGTAGACACACCCTGCTAGTATAAAAAACATAATACCTCACATATCTTCATGGTCTCCAAAGTCATTATACTATCAGAGTTAAATGTAAAAAATATGTACATAGCGTTTAAAGAACTTCACCCACAAACCATGGTTTCTTACTTTGTTTATTAGAATTTATTTCAAACTCAATTTAACATATCTTTAACTTACCACAGATGTGACACTTGTACATTATATGATGAAACTGAAACCCAACCCAAACTACCGAATATCGATGAATCAACAAAAAAGGAACCGTTTCAAGTGAGAAATCTTTATCACACTAAAGCAAAGCATTTTACGAAAAATTAAAACATAAATGGCAGCATAGTAATAACGTATTTGCAATAGCCTTTGACTTTATGCAAAATCTTCCGCTATCCAATTGAATATAAATAAAGTTTTCTACAGCAGACAACTTTGGTACTATGTATTTGGTGTACACGACATCGGAGGCAATGATGTCCATAAGTATACATATCCCGAAGGAATGACTAAACGTGGTCAAAATGAAGTAACTTTCATGATATTTCATTATCTAAAATATCATATACTTAGTAAAATTGATGAAATTTGGTTATTCTCTATGGTTGCTCGGGTCAGAACAAAAGTACACCTTTCTCTGTTTTTCATATATCCTGGTGCATGTCCTGAAATTAGTATTAGAGATAACACACGTATACCCAATACGAGGACACTCATACCTACCTTGTGATATACGACTTTAGATTCATTTCTTATGCAAAAAAAGTACTCTCCTTTTCAGAGCCTTTTTTCAGTGCGTCACAGTTTTTCGATTTCTTTCTAACGCATTAAGTTGTATGTGATGAAAAAAGCGGCACTTCCGTGATTAAAACACGAAAATATTACAGCGTTGCATACATAACCGGTCTATTCTTAACCTACGTTTGATTCGTTGATATTTGACATGCGCGCTTTCTCCAGCCAATCAGTTACGCGAGTCACAAACATTGGATGTAAAACTTCATTCATTTGGACATCCTTTAGAAGTGTCAAAGAGTGAACTGATCTTGTCGGTTCAGGTCAGTATTTGACATCGTTTTTCATAGCGTTGTTTGTGTTTATATTTTTATTTTGTTTTGGTTTTCATTAAAATATTTTTAAAATGCCAAGATTTACGGAAAAGGAACAAGTTCTGATACTTAAAGTACTTAAATATTTTGAATTAGAAAAAGAAGCTGGGCAAACCTTATTACCACTTTCTGCTGTTCGAGAAGTAAGTTTATAGTTATACTGAAAATAAAATTGTTTTATTTTTACCTACTGTTTATTTCAGCGTGTTGCTGAGGCGTTAGGAATTTCTTTGCCAACAATAAGACGATTGGCAAATGAAGGTGTCCAAAAAGATTCTGATTATTCAATCACAATGAGCGAATCAGTAGCCACGAGTCGTAAACCGACATTATTAATAAATAAATACGAACATGCCATCAGAATGTGTGTATACAGAATGTTTAGTAAAGGTAAGAGCATTACAACAGTTTAGTTAAAATATTTAACCATATTCCTGATAAAAGGCAGGAGTAACTAATTTTCATAGACATTTCTTTTAATAAATTGTTACTGACAACTAGTTAGATATATAAAATATATAGAAATAAAAAGTGATTATAAAAAGAATACTACTGAATTAAATACTAAGTATTTAAATAAAGATTTAAGAGTTATCTTTTTGCTGGAGTATATGCATTTACCTTGTGCAGTTTGGTAAAATACATAGATATATTTTTATAACTCTTAAACTTTGGATTATTTAAATATGGTTATTATGATTTATAAAAGGAGTACTGTTACATATAGCATTTAAATAGACAAATTCCTAATATCAAAACTAATGTGTTACTTTACATTCTTAATATTTTTCCTAGAAGAATCAGTATAGTGTCTTTAAACTTTGATTGTTTTAGGTGAGCATGTGACTCTTCATACCTTGAAGCAAAAACTAGAGGAAGTGGATGGAATTAATATCTCTATTGCTACACTTAGCAGAGTTTTAAAGGAATTAAAATTTAGATGGGTAAATTGTAGTGTTGCTAATAGAAAATATTTAATGGAACAACCACATGTGACTTTAAAAAGACTTCAGTTCTTAAAAGCCTATAAGGACAATGAAACCAATGTATACCCTTTAAAACCAGTGTTCTTGGATGAGACCTGGATATTCAGCAAAGGAGGATTCCGCAAGAGCTGGCAAGATGGCACTGTTAATGCAGTCAGGAAGAAGAATGGAGAAGGTGTACGATACATTATTCTTAATGCAGGTTCTGAAAATGGATTCATAGATAACTGTGAATTGATTTTCAAAAGTGGAAGTAAATCTGGTGACTACCATGATTCAATGAATTCTGAGAATTTTGAAAAATGGTTTGAGCATCAGCTTTTACCAAATTTAGAAGAACCGTCATTAATTATAATGGATAATGCACCATACCATTCAGCTTTATTGGAAAAAATACCAAATGCTAGTTGGGCAAAACATTCTTTATTAGAATGGTTGAAAAACCGACATATTAATTGTTCAATGACTATGATGAAATTTGAGTTGATGGATATTGTGAAGAAGCATCTACCAGAAAAAATATTTAAGTATGTATTAGAATTTATTTAGTAAGTGGCATTTTCATATATTTTGTTTTACAGATTGGATAGACTGGCCCTTCAATATGGCCATCGTGTATTGAGACTGCCTCCATATCATTGTCAATTCAATCCAATAGAGAATGTTTGGTCTGACTGCAAAAGGTATTATGATGCCAATATAACTTCTGCTGGCGTTACAAATGAAGCCACAGTATTAAATGTGTGGAAAAAATCTTTACAACAGGTAAATTAATTTTTATTTAATTCTTAGATACTAACTTTGCTATAATTTAAGGTCACACCAGAAAAATGGAGGAAATATGTTAGGCATGCAGAAAGCCTCATTAATGAATATTGGGAGACAGCCAAAATAATCGACACAAACCACATATCTCCTATAGTCATTGATTTAAATGAATGGGATTGTGCTTCTTCAGATGATGACTTTGTGGAAATGCCAGAACTAAACTGACACTAAGCTCGTTTTTGCTTTTGTAATTTGTAAGATTATTGGTCTCTGTTCTTCTTATATCTATTTGTTTATATTTTCTAATTTTATCATGCACTATTTAGTCTTATTTAGTTTCTTATAATCATAGTATCTCCTAGTTATTTAGTTGTGTACATTTGTAGATATTTAGTTATTCTTTTCCTTATGTTATAGTCTTAGATCTTAGGTTGATTTCCACATATTTCATTAATACTTCTATTATCAATTAATAGTAGTCTATTGTGTTTTTATGGTTTTTAGATATAAGGTTGTTAGTTCTCACTTACTTTACTTTAACTCATTAACGTCTAAAAAGAAACTAGCATGGAAAAAATGGAAAACACCAAAATTGTGACGTTTGGTTTAACTTTGATTTTGAAATTAACAAATGATAGAATTGATTGTTCCTCTCTTGTCCCCCCTTAGAGTATCATATTACCATGATTTGCATTATCTATGCACTTTTAATCTAATTTCCATTTTATAGAAAAATCCATGGAACCAATGGCCCACTGAATAGAGACTTATCTTTGTTTCTCAATGTCTCTCAATGAATATATAAATATTTGTAAAAAAGAGTTACTTGTACCTTATAGGCACCATGGCTATATATATATATATATATATATATAATATATATATATATATATATATATATATATATATATATAAATATATATATATTTAATATATGTATATACATATGCTGTAGGGTTCTGACTGTTTTAAACTATGTAACTTTGTATGTTGTGTACCTATGGGTATCTAATTGAGGAAATCGACGAACTGATGGTGTTGCACAAAAGGCGATGAAACATCTTCAAATATATGAAATAGCAGCTTACATTGTTGTTTCATTCTCCAAATTGACAGATATCCTTAATTAGGCACCCAACCAATTAGGCAATAGGTACACAACATATGAAGTTTTATTTTCCCGTCTTGATAGTGCTGGATTTTAGAATCAATAGAGTTTTATCAAACTGTTTTAATCAACAGCTAGACTTATAGGTTTTATGATTTAATTACATATAATATATGTGTGTACTTAAACCACTATTTGATATATTGTAAATTGTAATATTTCTTGGGGTTGTCCCGTATATTAAATAAATTAAAATAAATGTTGGTTGACTAAATCTATTACATATATTAAAAAAATATATATTTTTTTTCAAAAACATTTGGAAATACAAGGACGTCCTCAAATGGGTTTAGATATTTGTATGGTATTTTTCAAAACATTTTTCTATACACATTATTTTTCCACTCTTTTTGCATGTCTACCTTGCGTTCATATGACACGCAGAACACTAACTATTTTCCAGTTGTCCTGGAAAATGATAGCCTTTTGGTGACTTCAATTCTGGAACGAGCTTTTCTATTTCTTTGTGTTCTTGAAGTGATACCATCTCCAAATAACTATATACTATATGATAACAGAATTCTCACTATTTACATCACATTTTCAGTAGAAATTTGATGAGGTTTCCAGGCATTGGCCCTGATCATGTCAAGAAAGTACGTAAATAAATCCCACCATTTTTACCTTTTAAACTTATTCGATATAATGATATGCACTGATCATACGCATCTACGCCACTCATTCCAGAATTGTAGGAAGCAAACAATTTTAGACTCCATTACTGGACATTTTTGTACACGATTTTCTCTTACAATTCCTGTTGCCTTTATGATTTTTTTTTTGTTTCATATATATCATTAGTTGATATTTCGTGAAATGATTATCGAAAAAAATTTTAATTCTAGATGATTCGGGCAGGTATTTCAAAAGATCAATCACTACTTTAGCTCCAACTGTTTTTCCTTTAGTATCTTCAGTATCATTTGGTTTTTCTCCGCAATAAATGTCAAAACCATAATAATATCTAGTGGAACCAGTTAGGATCAATTCTTATATCCAAATTTGACTGGCTTCCCTTTAATAAATTGTTCTGCTAGGTAAAATATTTCACCATAGATTCGCCTATGGATATATGTTTATGGAAACATTAGTCTGGCTAGATGAACAAACTTTTTTATATCTAAGAATAGCGTTGTAAACACAGGGACCCATCTAATGGCCAATATAACATTTCTCATGGTAATCTGTTATACCCAGTTAGATCTAATATTGCAAAAAAGTTTGCATTTCGCTTGGAGCTATTGTAAAAGGGTTTTTTTTTGCCGTGCGTATAAAATTGACTGACCATAAATGTTTGTAATAATTTCTTCAGCAAGTAATTTTTCAAAAATTTTAATTGGTGATAAATTCCTCAGAGTGTCTTTAACGTTTTTGAATAATTGTTCAGCCAGATAACCTAGGGTTATAAGAAAGACGCTGCACCTAACTAAGTAATTTAACCTCCAAAGAAATCTTTAATTAATATAGGAAAGGTTTAAATATTTCATTGATATCCAAATTCTACTTTTCAATGTCTTCAATAAAGTATTTTTATTAGGCATCAGTGAATAAATTGTTTTTATGATTTGTATTATATCCTATTTTTGTAATTAATTTATAAATTACCTAATAAACATCTTTGAAAACAGTATTTTTTTATTTATAAATTTAATAAACAATATTGTTTACTATTATTTTAATCCACCTTGCAATAAAAGTAAGTACGGTTCTGGCATCTGTCAGAATTCTCAATAATTACATGAAATAATACTCGACACATCCAATACAGTATATGACGTCACAATTAATGACGCACTGAAAAAAGGCTCTGAGAAGGACTGTAGTTGTTGATGTTCCAGCAGAATGGAATGATCTTATTCGGCAGTCAAGGTCTAAACCTTCTCCAATTTAAAGTAGTTAATGCTGGAAAATAAACTGGCTGGTTGTTTATGGACAAAAGTTTTCAGGATTTATTTTTATAGAATCCAGAACCAAAAATGTCATTGAAACCAGCAAGAACCTACCAAATATCTGAGAAGTATCATGGAAAAGTTTTATCACGTCAAAGTTATCTCGGCCCATGGACATTTCACACAATTAATGAAAAACAGCGCCAAAACAACTCTGATACCAAATAAAGCGAAAAATAAAAGAAGGCAACCAAAGTTTCGCGATCTAATGGAGTTAACTAAATATCTCATGAATCCTCAAAGAATTTTATTTTAATTTAGAACTTAATCTCTTCTTAATCTTAACTTAGCGTAAAAGTAAAAAATATACATGAAAGTAAAAACAAATTTTAAAGTTTGTATAGTAAATCATTCGCATTTGTGTATCAAACACTGCATTCAAACGGTTTAATTAAAGTTGTTTTCTGTATTTTTATACATCGACTTAAAGTTCCTCGATTTCTACTTTAAAAACATCATTTTCATCATTCATAGTGAAGCACTAACTTCCAGAACACAGACATCCATAAAATAACGCAAATAATACCAGAAACTGATAAAGCCAAGTAAAATGACCATGTGGTGGTCACAAAAATATGAACAAGTATATTTAATGGAAGAACGTGTCACGAGGTAAATTCTGACTCAGGTCAATAGTTTGTGGCGCCAAAACTAAGATAAAAAATTCCCACATTAATAAAGGATCGAATAAGACATCATAAAAAATGAAATATAAAACTATTCAAGACCTGAACAATGAAACAAGAATACCGACAGAAACTCAACATAGAAACTCAAGAACAAAAATTGATCATAACAAAAATTTAAGAGGCAACTATCGAAAAAATCGAGAAAAAAATAAATGCAGAGTAACCTATTGGCCATTTATGACTATGTTGTAATTCTAACAAACAATTTATAGAAGTTTGTTGTGTGATGTGTAGTAGTTTTCTGTGTGTAGTATTTTTTCCTATTAGATTTCCCAATTATTTATACCAACAGTATTCCCAACTTTTTACTTTTCTTTAAATATAGTGTATATCAAGACGTTCGTTTTTCGTGTTTGTCATTCCTTGAATTTTCTTCTTAGTTTGTATTGTAGTAAAGTTAATTTATAGTTTTATTTGATATACAATTTCGATATGTAAATATTTCAATATCTTGATATGAAAACAGTAAGATGGCACAGATAAACGAAATTCAAAATAGAGAATATAACCAAATTTTATCGCCGTGACAGACGCGTTAGCACGAGATCAAAAAATAGTAAATTTTATGCACTGTAGATGTTATCTGGGCTACGTGACGAGCAAAGATCATGCCCGTTTCAAAGGTATTGACAAACATGCCAACTCTACACGTCTACGTAGCATACTCGTAGCAGAGGGAATCAAGTTAGCTGCTTCTTGTCTTCAGGAGATAAAAGAAGCACGATTCTACGTGTTTTCGAAACGTCAACGAGACATGGATCGTCATTTATATAGGTACAGGTTGCACGGTGACAGTGTGGGAGATTTTACAAGCCAACTCGATTTTAGTAGAAGATATTTTTACGGTTTTAATGGCAGAAAATAATATATCATTAAAAGGAAATATACAAAAAAAATATCCACATACGTACACCGATATGATGATATAACATTTAAAGTCTGTAAGCAAATGAAAGCTTTAAAAATACACAAAAAAGTGAAAATCTGTGGATTGCATAATTAAATTAGGTAGCAAAAATGGCTATTATCAAAATATTCATAGATATACAATACGGTTTTACTAAATTCTCGTATCGAAGACCGTTGTAAATTTGGAGGAAACCTAAAAAAGTCTATGCCTTGGAAACACATTTTTTTCTGTATTCAAAATATTCTCTCCGTATTTGAAATTTGTAAAATACTACTAGTCCAGATTTGTAGAGATTTGATCTCTAAAAATCATACGAACAAGCTGAATATTGCAGAGAATGTCAATTTTGGGACCACAGAAAAGATGCAAAAAGTTTGCCACTCCTAATCCCAGGCTTCCTCCTAAAACCCCCCGTAGGGGGAAAACAACGAAAACCATCGATGACTAAAGTTTCCGTTAAACCGATAAACCGTTCTCAGAAACGACCGGCTATTTTAAATATCAGTTAC